TTTTTTTTATTTTTACAAATTATCAAATTTTAACTTTATACTAAGTTATAATAAGTTCCTTTTTTTTCAAAGTTAACTTTTAACTTAATGAGTTAACGAAAAAAAAATATGAGTAACTTTTTACTTAACGTAACGTAATTATTTTGAAATAACTTAACTTAGAGAGTTAAAAAAAAACGTTAACTTGCCAAGCCTTGATTATTAATACCTAATAGTATATATTTTTCAATACTTGTGCTTGATTTTTTTTATATATACAACCAATTCACCTCAATCTCTTTGACACAGTGCCCGGTTTGCTTAAATCAATGATTATATGTAATTATGACATCGTGTTACGTATAAATTAAATATGTGAATGAACTTGCCATACCCCCTCCCCCTTTCAAACATTTTCAAATAAATTGAAAGTTATAGAGCTTCATATACTGGGTGATTCTTTTATCAAACAACACTCATTATTTCAAAAAGTGTAAATTTTTTTGAAGATATTTTTTTACATAGTTTCAAGTCGCTTATAAAACAACGTTTTTATTAAAAAACTATATTTTTAATTATTTTTTATCCTTATAATTTTTTAAGTTTTTTACTTTTTTGAATGACAACATAGGGTTTTAATTTTATATTCTAAAGTAGAATATTTTTCTTAGTGTTTTGATACATGAAAATTGAATTTGGGGCGAGTAGTTTATGAGTTATAAGTATTTAAAGTTTAGACGAGCGGTGAAGTGGACAAACATTTCGCGGGGTAACCCCGAACCACTCCACTCCGCTCTTCTAAACTTTAAATACTTATAACTCATAAACTACTCAACCCAAATTCGATTTTCATGTATCAAAATACTAAGAAAAATATTCTGCTTTGGAATATAAAATTAAAACCCTATGTTGTTATTCAAAAAAGTAAGAAACTTAAAAAATTATAAGGATAAAAAATATTTAAAAATATAATTTTTTAATAAAAACGTTGTTTTATAAGCGACTTGAAACTATGTAAAAAAATATTTTCAAAAAAATTTACACTTTTTGAAATAATGAGTGTTGTTTGATAAAAGAATCACCCAGTATAAGTAATTGTAAGTTTCTCTCCCAAAATTCGTAAGTTCACACCCAGGGGAAGATTTTGAAGTTTGGGTGGAAGCCCTCCCAACAGGATACGATAAAATCGTACCAAATAAATTGTAAATTATAGTGTTTCGTTTGTAGGTAATTGCAATCTCAAATCTAAATCCGGTTACGCTATTCGGTTTGCACAAAAGCTAGTAGATCAATTCATTACATGATTCGACATAGACGTAGTTCTGGTTTAGTCAGGTTTGTGGAAGTAGGGGGACACATCAATTCTCCCTGGGGTCATGGATGTAAAAGACCTAGTATGTTGTATAAACATAAAATTATAACAAGTAGTCATTTTACACGTAAGTACTTAATTTGTTTTGTACAAATATCATTAAGAGTTCAAAATAATGTATTAAAACAGCAGTCAACTCTATCGATTTTATCGTTATTTGCCATAAATTTAATAACAATTTATTATTATATTATATTACTTATAATAATTTAGTATTATACCGTGTAGCCAATGTATTATGTTACTGCATTCACACCAAACAATAACTTGCATGACCACTTTAACATCAATTAAGAATGATATAATAATGCGTTTTTGTGGAGTTGGAGGTGAGTGTGGGGGTGGGAGAGTCTAGCAATCACTACTCTTTTTTCCGCTTATGGCCGGGGGCCTCCAGAGCAGTGGTTTTTAATCTGGGGGTTCTGACATCCGGAGAAGATATTTTTAGGAGTCGAGAAATATTAATCTTGATTTTGTAGGTCATCGCATTACAGGATCAGCAATCAGTGCTTTAGAGGACTTAATTTTGTCTTGTTCCAACCCCTTGTGTATCACGTAACGCGCAATAGAGAAATGAAAAAAAAAGTTGTTGATTCGAACACTATAGCGTTATTATATTATATTATATTGTTGACACAAAGTTTTTTATTCCGATGACGATGACGGATTATTGGTTTCGTTGTTGTTCGCGCAGCTCTTTTGTCCGTTTTAGTTCTGGATTTCATAAGTCTGCTCAAATCCCTTTACCGCCCTACCCTCCTCTCACCGACTTCAGTGATGCCGCTGAATTGTATACCATTTCCAAGAGTCAATCGTTTTTCTCATCATTGGTTCTTGTCTTTTTTCTGCCTGTTTATAAATTCAGTGCCTACATACTTAATATAATTTTGTTGTTATTTACTATTGAACCCTTTCGGTTGTGTATCCTACACACTGAACGTTGTTCTATAATAAACGTTATAGTCTTCAAATCATCAACTTTTTTTTTTCATTTCTCTCTGATTTTATTTGAATAATTCAACAATTACCGATCTTGACGAGTCTTACCAAATCTACGATTGTTTTAATATTATAATAATATGTTTGTGCACGGTGATAGGATTACATAGGTTTTTTCTTAAACGAGTATACACATTATTTTATGTTTATAAGTCATCGAAATTCAATAGCTGGTTATATTTTATCGAAACGTGTAATCATTACTCTGTTAGTTGTTTCATAGTATGGGTAAACTGGTCGTTCTAAAAAAAAAAATTATATATTTACAACACACGTCAAAAGTGAAAAAGAATTTCTACTGCTATCCTGAAACATTATTACGATTTGACGACGAATTAGTGCTTGCGAACACGGTGAAAAAATACAACAAAGTTACTTATGCACTGTAATAGCTTCTTTATCACTTAGAATTTAAAACATTATATATTTTTCAAATCTCAATTGCATTATCTTAAGTGCAGCAATCACGAATTAATGTACCTACCTTCTACATTCCAACTATACACAAGTACTTTTAGTTTTACGATTTTATATAAAACAATTTGAAAAAAACTCTTAGTTATACAGGGTTGACGTTAAATGAGATAAATATATTATATTATAAAAATAATGTTCAAGAACACTTGTGAAAAACATTTTGTATTTTTAAATTTAGTTTTATTTTACCAATTTATGTAACTAGGTATGCGAACAATTTTAATACGTACTGTACCTAATTAATATTAATTATTCACATACACTTGGAAATTGTCGGCCGTAGTGCACCACATATTTGCACCACATTTGACACTAGATTGAACCACTATAATGTACTTACCACGTCGTTATTGTCCACCCATATCCTGGTTTTATTAAAATATATCTTACTACCATTAATTTACGTTCGATTACAAAATAAACTGTGAAAAATGTTTCTAAAAACGTTAAAAAAAATGTCCTAAGATGTTGAATTTGTCAAAAACTACACAATTAAAATATAACTCATACTGACCATTTAAATGTATAGTACACTTGAATTTATTTATAATATTATTGGTGCTTACAAATATAAAATGTATGATGAAATGTTATAATTGGAATAATTTGGTAATTTTTACACAGTAAAAGTTGAGAATATAGCCAAAATGTCTATACATTTTTATAGGCAGTCACTAATCGTATTATTTAGTCCCCGATATAATGATATATTAATTATGATGAAACGTTCAGCATTGTCTACGGTTTTAGCAAACTTATTGAAACATTGTAAACTCAATTAATAAATAGAACATCTATGCAATATATTATTGCAAAAGGTACGTGATAGGTTGCTTGGTGACATGATTATAAAGCATTCGAATAAATTAATTTAAACAAAAGTATTCAGATCCTTTTTTAGTAAATTTATATTTTACATTTTCTATTAAAAATCGGGCACGTTATAATCATGAACAATAGTTTTTCTCTTTGAATGAAATATGATTGTACCAAGTTGAGTTCCCACCACTATAAAACTAACAAAAATTAGCTCTATAACGTGACTTTGTCCTAGAGAAAATGAATAAATATAAAATATACCACTAAGTAATAGCTAAGTAATAGGAGTATCTTAGTTTTAGTTTACCTCAGTTCATAGTCAAATTTGCGTCCACTCCACATCTCGTTTTGCAGTAAACTAATTGACACGGGATTGATAACTTACCTTCGGTGGATTGGATATAGCACTTGATATAAATTGAACGCTGTTCAAAATACTTTCTAAATTTCCAAGAACGATTTGAAATTTTAGCAAAATCTGTCGACTGTTAATAGTTTTTGATTAGGTATACCCAATCTACAAACATAAATTCACCTCTCATATTTGTTCTAAGTATCTAAGCTATAATTATTTTTGACTTCAGATGCTCATAAAAAAAAATATGGATTTACGATCAACTTTCTTATTAATTTCAACAACTTAAGAGGAACCATGTATTAAGTTTTTAAGTATTTTTCTGGATGATCAAAAAATTATTAATCGACAATAATTAAGAAAAACAAATAAAAACAAAAATTTTCATTTGCCCATAAATAGTTAAAAAAAATCCCAATATTTTGAAAATTAAATTGTGCAGTTACAGCAAAAAAACTAAACGGATTTTGCTAAAAATGGTTTTCACTTTTCAACCAAAAAAAATACTGAAGATAAAATCAGAATATTACTTCGACTACTATACATAGTATACTATATAGTATAGTACTATATAGTATACATACTACTATGTATAGTATATTGTGTAACACAAAAAAATAAAACACACACATCATTGTAAAATCAATACATACATATCGCTCCTATCAGAGTCTATAATGAACATTTTGTTTGGAATTAGAAATAAGTAAATACAATTTGTTTTACTGCACCAGGCACATAGGGATGCCATAAATACCCGAAATATAATCATACGAATCGTAAAAATACGGAATAAATCAGTAATCCCACGGACCGTAATATTCCGGTAAAAAATTCACAATGAACCATAAATTTACGGAGTTAAAAAATATTTAACCATAATATCTAAATATCAAGGACTGTAAAGACTTTCAATTACCGGACCATAAAATCCCGGACAACAAAAAACTTACCTAATCCAACCAATAAAAACGTGTTACTTCAATATTCATATTAATTTTAAATAAATGTCAACATATTACACAATAGAATTGTTAAAATTATGTACAATGTGTAATGACGTGACTTAAGCAAATTCCCAGAATTCGGTTTCCTCTTCTTCTTCTCCTTCTGATTTTTTTGGTTCTATTATATTATCTAACCATTTTCTATGAGGCGACAAGAATGTGTAAAACAACTGGTTGTTACGATCTCCAAATTATTCATTTAAAGCTACACTGAAATTAATTATCAATGGTGGGCAAGTTAATGAAAATATTGAACTGGGGAAAGTTAAGTTAATTCAATTCAATTGCCTTCAGTTAAGTTAAAAGTTAACAGAGAAAAAAATTTAACTAGATAAGTTTATAGTTAAGATAGAAAATAAAATTAACTTATCTCAGTTAAAAAAAAAGTAAATTTTTTTGAAGCTACAATATTTTTAAATCATAAACCACCATAGTATTTTATATATATATATTAATGAATGTTTGTTGGTAGACTAGACCTCTGAGATGAAAATAGGCTACTTTAAATGGTTAAATTTGGTTTTATTTTATTCATCGGATTTTAGTACGGATAGGTCAGGATAGGATTTTGTATTAATTGATTATATTAATCCACCGTAGTTGGAATTAAGCAAAAACGACAAACTTGGTATAACTTTGATACTTTAGAGTTAAATCATACACTTACGTACTAACAGCACGGGGTCCTCGATCTACCTGATAATGTACTGCTGCGAATCAGAATTTTTATTCCTTGCAACAGAAAAGTTAAGATAAATTTTGAACACCATACACCGAATATTAAAATAAGCAACTAAACAAAGTTTGAGTCATATAGAGTTGTTACATTTAACGGGCAACGAAGTGCAGCTGGTATATTATATATACAACAATATTAGGTACCTATTTGGTAGTTGACAAGCTTCTCTACCATATACGATATCATTGGTCATCATATAACCTGAACCAACGGCAATTTTTTGACCAAATCCAAAAATCATACAATTTAACTTTTTGCCAAAAGAAAAATCTTCAGACGAACTCCCAATTTTCAAAAATGCCTCGATTTCCGGGAATTTTTTTTCTAGCTAAATTAAAATATAAGTATAACTATGAATGATAATATATATTAATTATGAAATCTACGATTATAAGTACTTAGGTTAGGCTAGGTTAAGTTAAGGTAGGATACTTTTTAATAGAATGCAAAATTATATAGTATATTATTATAGATTATATAGGACAATATACAATTTGTGAAAAATTAAATAAAATAATTTTATTTCACCCTCCAATAAAAATCTGACAATATTTATGTAGCAGTCACTTATTTTTACAAATATATTACTACAAATGAGGAGTTCCTGTAGGTAACTATAATTTTTTTGGTTAGTGGGGTGTTGAGAGTAAACATAAATACAAAGTATACACCGATGAATAAATATAACTGAGCTTTTGTGATAAAACTAATTTAAAAAACTACAATATGTGATGGTTGGAAGTTACTCCTGGCAATTCCTCTGCAGGCACTTACAAAATTAGTATAATTTAAATTTTAAAGGGCAAGTACAGATGAACAGGAATGTTCTTAATTTAACGAAAATATTGTATAGTTGCATACTTTTAACACACAAATGTCATATCTTCCTTTACTATAATTTTCGTGTAGGTATATTTTGGCAACCTTTTTGAATTTAAAGTCAATGCCTTTAACTTTTATTGATGATCCTTGACATACATATTTTGAAATGAATAAATTAATTGCTTAAGAAATTAAAATGTTTTTGTGAATGATAAAATATGTAGGCAAATACATTGAAATGCAGCTCAATTATACTTACTTCTATATCATATACAGTGTATCCAAAACAACACAATCCAGCTGTCAATAGGAACAATTCTGTTACTAATGATGCTGAGCACGCTTCATACCCTTTTGTTCTAATTTTATCCCACATTCTAAGATACATTAAGTACGTATAATCTTTGGATTTAAATATTGTTTCTTTGTATATAAGACTATTATTGAAATGAAAAGTTGAGTTATGTTCAAACATAGCCACTATAATCAACAGTTATAAAATTATAGCAATTTTCACCTTTTCTGAAAATACTTAAAATACTTTTCATTCATAATATTAATATTTATGTATTAAAAAACGTTATATCATAAATATTTACTGTAAACAATATTGTATTATCATGACAACTACTGTCTGTATTGAAAATGTATACCTAGTAACAGATTGTTAGTCCGTCGTCGCTAGGTAGAAACTTGCCTCTTAGAAAAGGCGACCACGAAATGGTATTGCCGGTATTGCTGCAATAATTTTTTATGCCATGCATATCCTGCAGCAAATTTGGAAAGCAGAATTTGGCTTAAAATGCTTAAATATTATATTTAAATTTACTATTTAACTTGGCAAATGGTGTTATTTTGGTTGATCAATACACATTTGTTGTTCAAAATATTCGTATCTAACCGAGTGCATCAGGTACACCGACTTTTACCGTCGTATAAAATAAATGGGGAAATGTGCGAACCGATGACAACCCAGCAGATTGTGCTTCACGCGAAATGCAGCCATCAGCTTTTATGCAGCTCCATATTTGTTTGTCTAGGCCACACAGTTTCTGTTCATAGATTTTCATTGATGTAAACTTAATAAATAACGATTTACTTTTAATCAAATCCAAGTTACATTAATTTATAAATAATAAAATATTTGAATTTATTAATAACATTATTATTGATGATGCATATTGCATAAAAATTTACTTTTTACTACCTATTTAAAATCATATAACTGGCTATTTATATATTTTAGAGTATACTTTAAGTAAACTGTAAGTTTTCATATAACTTTTAACTCGAATGACTCGATATACTCGTACTTACAAGAGTGAAATGTGAATGTATTCGTTTGAATGCCAAAACTATATCGCAGTGAATACTGGTGTGGTCTGTGTTTCTTGAGACTTTTTACTGAGGGACCAGCTTTTGTGTCGATTATATTTCACTTATAGGACGAGTTTGGTGTAATTCCTCCTTCATTATTGATCTGTGTCGGTTGTACGTAATTTTAAGATATAATACAAAGTTGCCGCTGTTAATAATTTTGTTTTGTTGTTTTAACAGAGAATCTGGTCGGATGGCTGTGGGTTATTATTACTTGCATGTGTCGCGTGTGAGTATAAGGAATATATATAAATTATATTTTATGCCTAATTCGTATTTATGTATATATTGAATCATCCTACACTCCGTATGGTCTGTTTTAATTAATTATCCTGTATTTTTTATTTAAGTGTAAGATACTACTATATAGCAACTCGGCTGATTGTGCTTCGAGCAACTCTCTATTGTATTGGTCTGGGCCACAATTTCTACTTTATTCAAAATAAATCTGGAACTTTTCCCCTTCTACTGAAGAACTGCCTGAAACAAAATACCTGTCTTTCTTTGTAAGAAAAGGCACAACGCAAGCCAGTCGTAGTGGCAATGCCTTTTCATGTTGCACACGCCTAAATACATTAATCACCTCATCAGTAGAGTATTTAAGAAAATTTTCTGGGTGGGGGTCCAGTAATTCCGCCATAATATAGTTAGGCACTGATATACAGAAATAGTTGTTTTATTATATTTTAATAGGTATTTTAAATTTCATGGGCTAATTTTGACACAAGTATATTACATAATTTGAAAGTAGAAAATTAAATTGTCTTTTTTTTTAAAAATAAATCCATCAAAAATGTCTTGTGGTAAGAGGGAATCTTTTCTATAAACGGACATCATGTATTATGTATCAACTGGTTTAAAATAAATATATAAGTAATCTTTAATTTTATTCAAGACGGAAAAATATCATGGTTGAAAAAAAACTGTAAATGAACTGTAAATTAAAAATGGTTTTCGGGTTTCCAGCTTTGTTGAAGAATTTGTTCAATTTTGTGTGGTTTCAACAAACGGTTCGTTGCCTATATCATACATATTGATAGTCTCGCATCTACTCTTTTATCAGAAAATGTATTTGATTCATCAATACTGGGCGATAAAGAACGTTTCTTGATGTATGTAGTTCAAGAATTTGTAATGTTGGACCATCTAATCTGATGGACACGCAACAGGTGCCATTATAAATGATTTCAATGGATTTTTTTTTATTTTTTTATTTGAAGACATATTTATTTAAATTTCAAACAATAAATAGATAAAAGTATACACCAATAATAATAGTTATACGGAATAAATCAGTAATACCATTTACAGTAATATTCCTGAAAAAAATTATCATAGAAAATTAATTTACGGACCATAAATAAACGGAATTAAAAAAATATTTAACCGTATTATTATTGACTGTAAAGACCCGGACTTTAAAAACTATACCGTACATTTCTGGAAAGCGAAAACCTTACCTAACCTAACCAAACCTATAACCACCCGATTTTTACGTTCTGGCGTATAACACTCTGCGTTTTAATACTTTCCGACATTTGACGGTACTAACATTTTTATTTTCCGAATTTTTATTGCTCGAAAATTTACATTCCGGAATCCTAGTGTTCATAAAATTATTTTTTGGAATTTCACATGCGTCCGACACATGTACATGATGTAAACTAACACGATGTTCCTTTATAAAAAATATGTTGCTTTAATCTTGATATTAATTTTAAATAAAAGTCAACATATTAAACAATAATATTATATGCAATGTGTAATGATGTGGCTTTAAGCAAATTCCCAGAAATTCTTTTTTTTTCTTTTTACATTATATTTTTTAACCATTTTTCATCACATAATGTGAACATGTATACCTCTTACTGGTCAGGAATGCCACATCCTTTAATGTTAATGTTATATCCTGAAGGCATAAACAAAACTGTATACTCAATATTGCAATTTTTGCAAATCATCGGACCTTAACTTTGCCCTATTATAATACATGTCGTTGACTTCCCATTCATTTATTGGACTTGACTTTTTGAACAATTTGTATAATATAGAAGCTTATAAATCATATATACAACTATATTATTTGTAATTTTTACAAATAAATGAGATAAATCCAATCCATGAAGAATATCAATGTACCTACCTCAAATTGTATTTAATTGTCTGTCATCTCTTGGCATGATTGATGACCTGCGGCATTGCGACACGCCGATACTTGATACCAACATGTCATCTCTGATGTTTTTCCAGATACGATTCGCAAATAGTATTATTTTAGTTGATCAATCATTTCTCGCCGACGATTTAATCCTTTCACGGGGAAAAATAAAATTGCCCTTTTCAGGGTAACCAATAGTTTAGTCACACCTAGGCTACTCTAACTGGACGAAACCCACGGATCGGGGACCGACGTGTATGGTCCCGATTCCCAAATCATCATTTGTACATATTATATAATTATAACATCTTGTACTAGAATCTTGGTCTTGGCCTTGTATGCCACTGGGTCAACGCTTCTCAAACCTTTATATTGTATATACATTTTAACTCTGGATAGAAAGAAATCAACCGTTCACGTACTGAACATTGTACGAGCTCTTAATTTATATGAGGAATATTTGGATGTCATGGTAACGGTAACGTGTAAACGGTCAGAAAAATACTATAGTATTTTGGGCTCCCAGCCTCAGACGATGACGTCACACAAGAAAAGATACTGCAGTTGAAAATCGAAGCATTATATTACTTACTTATCATGTAAGGCACTCCCACGGTTTCTAAAATGAATATTTGGTTTGGATTTACTAATAACTAGTGGCCGAAAAAATATTCTCTTAAAATAGCTATAATAGAATGCTAATAGTATTTTAAAAGGTTAAAAATATTCTTCCGACATTCTTTAAAAAGGTGCTCTACTGTACAGTAGGTTACAAGTGGGTCACTGTATAATTAATGGTATTAAATTTGAATTTAATGATATAATATCATTGTATAAGAAAAACGATTCTGAGCGAAAACGGTTAGTCAGCCTATGATATTACGAAGTATATTTGATGATACTAAGGTGATTAAAGTAATTTATATATAACCTAATCTCGTTTTAAATGTTCAATCATTAGATATAAAAGTTGAACATTTTATAAATTTTTTACTACAAAATAATTATTCAATTTTAAATTTGATAAATTTTATCAAAACTCGATCTTTAAATGATTATAAAATAAAAATGTGACAATGTATTTTTAATATTTTTTAACTGTTATTGTAACAATATATCAGGAGCCTTGCATTAAATTTGTAAATTGTTTGGCCCAACAGATAAAATTTAATTGATATTTATAGAAAAAAAAACTAAAAAAATTGAAAACTAAAAATGTCCGTTAACAGCTCAGAATAATTCAAAATATTTGGAAAATTATATGGTGTATAGGAAATGCTATTATAAACATTCAGTGAATTTTTCATGTATCTATAGTTATTCGTTTTTGAAATAGCTACATGAGAAATCGAGTGAATATCCAATGTTGTACAAATTTGAATTTCAAACGGTCGTAAAAATTTAATTTGACTTTCTTATACCTATACATTTTTTTTTTTTTTTTTTTGATAAATTTAGACAAACTTTCGATTAAGTTTGTATTACATTTTCGTATTTTATGTTAAAAAAGAAAAATTTTTACGAATTTTCAACTCAAAATAATTTGCTAATTTCCATGATTTTTCCATATTTTGTCAATTTTTTAACATTAAATGCTTATAAAAAAATCTTTGACTAAGGATTTCTAATATTTGTCATCTACCTTTGAAACAATAAACTAGGAGCCTTCTATTACATTTTCAAGCTTTTTTAATTATCAACAAATAAAATTGTATTGATATTTCTAGAAAAAAAAACTAAAAAAAAAATGGAAAATGAAAATGTTCCTAAACAGTTCAAAACAAATCATAATATTTTGAAAATGTTATTGTGTATAGAAAATGTAAATATAAACAACTAGTGAAAATGTCATGTATATACATTCATTTGTTTTAAAGTTACACCAAAAACTAAAATCGATTTTTCCGAAGACCGATTTTGAGTAAAAATTCCCGTTTTTTCCTTAATTTTTATGTTGTTTTTCCCGGCGCTTGTGAAAACTATTTTGAACCTTAAAATTTAACCTCCGAATGCACCAACTAGATTCACTTTCCCATCGAACAAGTTACTGTTGAACAAAATAGATGCAGTTTTACTGCCCGAAACCGTGATGACAGACACAAAAATAAATTAAAAATTAAAAAATAAAATGAAAACACTCATCATTGTAAAATCAATACATTCATCGTTCCGCTCAGAATCTAAAATCATAATAAAATATGATTTTATATTTATATATTATCTTAAATTAAAAATATTCCTATTTATATGTCAAGGAATAAAATATGTAATACAAAAATTACTATTATAAATAGGTATATATATAATAAAAAATAATATATCTTCAGAAAAAAACATTAACCTATAATAGTCAGGAGAATGAAAAGTGGCCACTGGTGAATGGCGATACGTAAGCAACCTGCTTTTACCTTCGAAAAAACAGTGAAACTAGAACTCGTCTACAACATTATTCTATAAAACATAATGTTATTTTGTTTTAGGTAATTATAACTAAATCAAATATTTCAAAATGCGAGCTTGGCGAAACCATCACAGAAATTCACCATGCATTCTCCCGAGTGTCCCGACTATAGGTAACATTTTATTTTTTTAAATTAAATTATAATAATGACGTATGTTTGGTTAAAACAATTTTTCATCGCTATCTAAAGACTATGTAATTCCTATATGGGGTAGAATATTTTCGTACGTTACGTTGGTCTATAATAAGCATATATATATAATATATATAGAACTATTATCGGTCATATAATTTATTTAAGCCACTGCAACACAAAATATCGAAAGTCCATTCGATAAAAACGATTATGAGCAAAGCCAGTCAGTCAGCCTAAATTACTAAGTATATTTGATGATATTATTGTGAATAAAGTAATTTATATATAACCTATTTACGTGGAACCTTGTTTTACATTTTCAATCCTTAGCTATAAAAGTTGAATATTTAATACATTTTTAACTACCTATTGAATATAATTTGTAAATTTTCAATTTGATAAATTTCGTCAAAATTCGAACTTTAAATGATTGTAAAAAAAATAGCCCATATGTATTTTTAATGTTTTTTAACTGCTATTGTAACAATATATCAGGAGCCTTGTATTAAATTTTCACGCTTTTTGGGACAACAAATACAATTTTATTGATTTTTATAGAAAAAAAAATTAACAAAATTTAAATTTGAAATTGTAAATGAATAGTTCGAAAAGAGTTAAAATATTAATTGTATGGTGTATAGAAAATAAAAATATAAACATTCATTGCAATGTACATGTATCTACAGTTATTCGTTTTTGAATTACAACAAAATAACAAAATTGTGACATGAGAAATCGAGTGAATATCCAATCTTGTAAAAATATAAACGCTCATAAAAATTTAATTTGATTTGCTTGTAGACATTTTTTTTTTTTTTTGATAAAGGTAGACAAATTTATAAGGAATCTTGTATTACATTTTCAAATCTTAGATTTAAAAAAAATTATTTTTATGAATTCTCAAAATAATTAGATAATTTTCATGATTTTTCAGTATTTTGTCAAAGACTTGAACTTTAAATGCATGTAAAAAAAAACTGTAACTAAGGATTTGTTATATTTTTCAAATGTCATTGTAACAATAATATAGTAGGAGCGTTGTATTAAATTTTCAAGTATTTTTACCCAACAAATAAAGTTTTATTCACATTCATAGATAAATAAACTAACAAATTTTGAAACTGAAAATGTCCCTAAAAAGTACAAAACAAATCAAAATATTTTGAATATTTTATTGTGTATAGAAAATGCTAATATAAACATTCAGTAAAAACTTAATGTACCTACGGTCATTTGTTTTATAGTTACACCAAAGACCAAAATCGATTTTGAGTAAAAATTCCCTTTTTCCTTAATTTTTCTTTTGTTTTTCGTGGCATTTTTGAAAATTACTGGAAATTTTAAATTTTTACCTCCCAATGCACCAACAATATTCTCTTTCCTATAGAACAATATACTGAAGTTGAGAATTGAAGCATTATTTCGACTACTTATCGTGTACACAGACAAAAATTAAAAATTAAAACACACATCATTGTAAAACCAATACACTCATCGCACCGCTCAGAATCTAATATAATATTTGATTTATAGCAATAGATACGTGAACAGAACGTTATCCAACAAGATTTTTCTTGAAAATAAATGTTATTCTTAATGTTAATACTAATTTTGAATAAAAATAAACATATTATGCAAAATTATTGATACAATTAAATGCAATGTATGATGTGGCTTAAGCAAATTCCCAGAACTCTTTTTCTTCTTCTTTTTTTTTTTTTTTGGGTCAATTATATTATTTATCCAATCTTTAAAATAGTGTATGAACACGTACACCACCTGCTGGTCCTTATCACCACATTTAAACCCACCACCTTTTTTGTAGGTATATTGAAAACTGTTTAATCCATATTGTTTGCCGTTGCAGATCATGGGACCTCCAACGTCAAAAGATTCACATGTCGTTGAATTTTGGTTCGGTACCAAACATAAATATTGGTCCCATGTGTCTTTTATCAGTTTACTATTTGAACAATTTTTATATATTAGTTGATAAATTATATAAACATTAAATTAATTATTTGTATATATTACCTGTTTGATACTTGACAAGCTTTTTTACCATATCTGACATCACCGGTCATCATAAATCCTGTACCAACTTTCGTTTTCTGATTTCCAGTATGACCAAATCCAAACATTTGACAACTCATCGTTTTTAGATTATCAAAATCTTTAGGCGAGCCACCAAGTTTTAAAAATGTATTTATACGAGGAAACGCAAATTCAATCTAAATTAAATTATAAAATATAGGTAATATAATATAATTACAGAAATCTACGAATATGTATGAAGTACTTTATAGTACCTATGTAGATTTTATATGGGAAATATAAAATTTGTATTAAATTAATATTAAAATATTTTTTTTTTTTTCACAAAATAATACAAATTCGGGAATATTAAGAAGCAGTTTCTTATTTCTACAAATGTACTACTACAAATGAGGAATTCAAGCATAGGAGGAACTATAATTGGTTGGTTGGGAGTGAATAGTATAAATAAATACAGAGTACCTACACATCAATTAATCAATGTCATTGAGGTGCTATTTAGATTTTAAAGGCCAAGACGTATAGACAAACCGGAAAAATATTAACGGAGAGTGAGGTGAGTTGACGAACCTAAGGATGGATTAATATTTATATTAAAAATAATCGACCGAAAATCTTGAAACTTTGTATTAGTATTGTCTTAAATATAAAAAATAACTTGTAATATTTTCAAGTCTTAATATATAAAGATTTATAACTTATACATTTTTTCAAAAAAAAATCTGAATTTGCTATCTTACCCCTATACCTGGGGTAAGTTGACAGGTAGAAATCAATGAAATAAAAAATAAATATTAAGTATATTTAATAAATGATAATATGAAATATATTATAATGAATTACTCGAAGTAAATTAATGAATGTTATTTTTAATTAAATTATATTTGAGGAATGAATTTAATTATTTTATTTTATTTAAATTGTTTAAATAAATTGTATGCACCATGAAAATTGAAACTCACAACATAAAACAAATTACTATTTAATCAATTAATAATGATTAAACAGATCCCAATGAGTCAATGACTTTTATTCAGTCAAAATTCAAAATTAACAACATAAAGGCATGTTGCCCCACAAATGTTTTTTTTAAAGTAGGTATTAATTATTTATCAACACACACACGGTTTATCTGACTTTATCATATTTATCTTAAACTAGCTGATCCCGTGCACTTCGTCGCCCGTTAAATGTATCAACTCAATATGACTCAAACTTTGTTCAATTCATTATTCAATATTCGGTGTATGGTGTTCAAAATGTATCTTATCTTTTCTGTCACCCTGAATAAAAATTCTGATTCGCAACAGTACATTATCAGGTAGGCAATCTACCTGCGGTAGATCGCGGACCCCGTGCTGTTTGTACGGAAGTGTATGATTTAACTCTAAAGTATCAAAGTTATACCAAGTTTATTTTGATATAATACTGTGGATTAATATAACAAATTTGGTTGATCGTAAAAAATCGCATTTCTTAAAAAAATTATGATTGTTGAACTCCTTTTGGGTGTAACTTTCTGCGGTAAGTGCAACTCAGCCACCCTGGTAGGCAATGTTCAATAATTCGATTTGATGCAAGCTTGTACCTGATCTGCCCGAATAACCAATGGCAACCAATAAATAAATGCTAATTTCTAATGTAGACTGTAACCAATGGCAACTATAAATAAATAAAAATAAAATTTCCAATTTCTATCGTGAATCTCAATGTCCCTGTTTCAGCACCTATTTAAAATGCGAATTTTGGCAAATCCTCTCTTAGCGCACGTTTACATCATAATAGCTATCTGTATGCCAAATTTCAGCCAGATCCGTCCAATGGTTTGAGCTATGCGTTGATAGCAGTCAATCAGCTTACTGTTTTATATATACAGATATGGTTGCCATGGTAATATTGACACACACTCTGACATACATTCATTTTTATATATATAGAAGATAATATTAGATTTTTAAAAATGTGAAGTTTTAATTTTGATCTATCAAATAAATATTAATTTATAATATATAGCTGATCCCGTGCACTTCGTTGCCCGTTAAATGTACCAACTTTATATGACTCAAACGTGTTCAATTCGTTATTTAATATTCGGTGCATAGTGTTAAAAATTTATCTTAAATTTTCTGTCACCCTGAATAAAAATTCTGATTCGCAACAGTACATTATCAGGTAGGCAATCTACCTAGGTAACAAACATGGCCGATTAACCAATAGCAACCAATATATTATACACCGGTGGATTTTTCTAAAATTGTCTTCATATAAACCTTCTTCGTGAAATACTCTTTCGTTTAAAAAAAAATCAAGAAGATCTGATAAGTAGTTCCAGAGTTCAGCCCGTACAGGGATTTTCATTTCACATTTTTATAGTTGGATATTATAATATTATAATTTATATTTAAAAAGTAAAGCAAATAGTTTTTTTTATTATTATTATTATTATTACTACTATATGGCTTATAAACCCATCATTTCTATAGACGCATAATAATAATAGATACTGATTGAATAATGTTCAATAACAAATAGTCGATGTATTATATTATAATAAATGGTTTGTTTTTTTTTGTTTTCAACGACTTAAAACGATTAACTATAATTCTGTATTAAAATTTCTATAACGAATCATTTTATAAGACGTCACTCATGGCAACCATTTATAAACAAAAATTTCGATCTGAATTTTATGAAAATTTATAATAATTGATAACTCCTTTGTTTTTAAAGTTGGAGAATCGATCAAAAGCCATAAACCTTCTCCGCAATTAGCTCTTCAATTTAAAAAAAAAACATAACGATCGGTTGAGTAGTTTCCGAGAACATATCACTCAAAGGTTTTCATTTTCACATTTATATATTAGATACATTCAAAATATATCTTAATATAACGTGTACTTTGTAAAGTAAATAATCAATTTGGTCATTTTATTTATGGTACCTTCTTCGGTAAATCCTTACTGTAAATGTACCAACAATTTTCTCAAAAAGGTTTTTAGAGAAGAAACATTGAAGATATTTAATACTTATCAGAATAATCTCGGTATCGAGAAATAAGTAATTTATAACATCATGTGTGTAATCGGATACTAATATCCATTAATATCATAATTTGTTAAGAAATTTAATAAATTCGTCATCTTACCTGTTTCGTAAATTTACCACACTCTCCCTAACATAAATAAATGGGCTCTTACTCGTAACAAACAAATGTCTCCAGCATTTTTTTCTTTTGGATCGTAGGTTTTGTGTTGGTGTATTTTGACAACTTTATGATATTCGTTTCTAAGATAGGGTGCTCCTTGAGTTACCTATATAGTCATGAAAAATATAGTTGGCTAAGAATTTAAATATGCTTTGGTAGACATTTAAGTATGTACCTAAAAACAATGAAAATAAAATAATGACAGTTATAATTACATCTACATCTTTTTCAGCTTGACCATAAATACACCTTTGAGCTGTTAATACAAACAATTCACTTATTAATGAGCCTGTACATAGTGAATCTGTATATTCACCCTTACATCTAACAATCATTATGTACGGATAATCTTCGGTTGTAAATTCTTTGCCATTAAATATAAGTAAATATTCTTCAAATAATGCCAAAATAATCAACAGAAATAAAATTATTGAAATTTTCATCGTTTTTTAAAATACTGCTCTTTGCATTCATATTTTTAATATGTATGTATTACAAAAGATTTTACTAAACATATTTACAGTAAACAATCATATTTTATCTTGACAACTACACAGCTATATTAAAAAATGTATAGTAACTGATTATGAGTCACTTCAATGGTACCTATATTTTGATCGAAGGTGTTATTGCCAAATAAAGGTTTCCAGATCGTTTTGGAAAGGCGTCGGCAAAGGATTAACCGGTGGGAATGAGAGAATAGACATCACAAATTAAGGAACCACCAATTTTTCAACCATGTAGAAATTCAAAATCGAGAGTTAATGAAAGGGTTTTGAAGTTTCCTTGTCGATAAGCTGAGTGATTGGTCTATCTTCTGCACTTATTGATCTCAGTAAGGGACCAAGAGAACCGAAACACCCAAAAGTAATTCTACTAAATTATGATATTCAAACTAATATTCTATAATAGATAGATTCATATTAAACTTGCTGTAACGGAATAACTCTGTGGAAACTGAGCCAATTTTATTATATTAATATACATTTTCGTCTTGTGTTTTAGGTCTAATGGTTGAAAGTGATCTTTTAAACGCTCTTGGTATAAGGTTTGGTTATATGGGTATTGTGATAAGGTTTGATGATGAGGACTTTTGTGATTTTGGTACCGGTGATCTGGCCTGTGGTCTAGTTTCAAAGGCGGAAAAGTTTATGAAAGCTACGTTTGAGTGTCAAGTTATCAGTCATTATCAAAAGTGAACTATGATTTACGTGCAATTTTACTTTCTGGGTAGGAAAATTGACTGAGTCGGATCTCAGACCACATTGGTTCATTACATCATGTAGGCAAATTACCTGTTGACGTTAGCGTATATAACTCTTTAGTTTCAATGTAATAGCTATTTGATGCTTGTAATTTTTACTTAAAAATATTCCATGATTTGTTATGTATCATCACATTGAGTAGGTCTTAGAGACAAACTGGTGGTAGGTAAATCCACACACCACGTGACATTCTACAGCTAGTACCACAAACTTGTATGGCGCGCTATACCTAAACTGCTGAATCTGTAGAAATACCATTTTTTTGGGTTCACTTTAAGTCCAAGATATGATTATTATATTCACTCACAATTTTATGCAGTCTACGATTAAGTTCAGTGTATTTTTCCAGTTTTTGGGGAAACTTATACCAATATGGTGGCCTCTTGGAACCCTACTCAAACAATCAATAAATGTCCACATTGTTGGATAAACACCACCGTTCATATTTTTAATCACCTATTTGCAGCCTCAGCATGATTATTGGTTCTGTTCTAGGAGCTTTCTTGCATAGGCACAGATTCCTCAGTTCTGGAGCGAAACGTGAATTTTTTCTCCCCCGACCATTAAGTTTAATATCTTTATCTTCGAAACACAAATAAGCATGGCCGCATTTAGGGGGTGGGGTAGCACTGGCTACAACGGCCCAGTGTGCCAGTATTTTGGGGTGCCAAAATGTTGCGTACAGAAATTTGTTCCCTTGTGAATTATTGAATTATTACAACTTTTAAAATCAAAATTAATTCCATAACAGTATAGTAATATATGTTATTTGAAATTAAAACATTTAATATTTTAAAATAATTAGAGAATTATTAATTTAGGTACCTACTTAATAATAGCTCCTTAAGGGGATGTTAAACAGACATTTTTGTCTCTGTCTTACAAGTGCATCATATAACAAAATATAACAAATATTACGCTCAGCAGATCACGTTTAACTCCGTTAGCTTAAAAATTAGAGTGAATTGACCTCTTCTAAAATTAAAAATTTAATGATTATTATCTAGGGCACCTAATTATATTTTAATTTTAATGCGGATTATGAGTATTTTAAAATTGTCAATAGTTTGTACATCTTCAAATACTCATAACTATCTTTAAAATTAAAATATAACAAAAAGCCTACAAGGTATTGAGAATTGAGATGCCCTAGATAATAATCTTACTTTTAAATTGTATAAGGTTTAAATTCAGTCTAATTTTTAAACAAACGGAGCTAAACGTGATCTGCTCGGTATAAAATTTACTATGTCACACACTTGTAAGAAAGAAACAAAACAATTTGGTGTAGCTGCTACTCTGTAGCACTGTAGAGTCCTTTTAATACTTTTCCCAAATTTGTTGTGACTAAAATATTCAATTGACATAAGTTGTTTAAAATAATACCACGTATTTTGCTATCACGTTCTATCACGTTCACTAGTATTTGTGAAATCTGTGATGGCTGATTAATAATATTTTTTTCCCTACTCTAACTCGGCTCTCTTAATTATTTGTTATATGTTTGTTTTATAGTATTTTAATTATGTCGACCAAAAAAAGTTAAGTGGATTTCAAAATCGTGAAAAAACTTTGTTAAAAGACAAAAAACAACTTATTTATTAACAAATTCAGAAAAACTCAACACACGTTTCAAAAAATATAATATTAATTTGTATAGTTTTATAGTTTTATAGTTTTATAAAATTTATTTTTATTTTGCTTAAATTAATAATATATTAACATGATCCATGAAGTAGGTACCTAAATATGTAAAAAAAAAAAACAATTTAAGTGATGAATTCTAAGCAAGGCTCAGGTGGCATACACTCAATTGTATATTTTCAGTGGGGGGGGGATGAGAATTAGTAAAATTATTAAACAATATATTAAAAATTATAATTAAAAAATCACACAACATTGTAAAAAAATATTCTTTTCATTATTCAAAAAGTAAAAGGTACATTATGATCTATCTCCCATATTTCACGTAATTAGGCAGCTTATTGGGAGTCAATTTTATTTTGCACCCGGACCTAAAATGTCTAAATGTTGCACTGAAAATAAGCATAATAACCGCACCAAAATTACTATCCAAGTTATACGTGTTGGTTGGAACATGGAAAAAAGAGGAGAGTTTAAAAATATGTTTTGTATTTCCAAAAATCCTTTCTTACTGCACCCCTACATTACTTAATGAACCTCTGTACAAAATTTCAAGTCTCTAGACCCAGTGGTCCGGGCGTTTATGAGTGAATAGGGGGGGGGGGGTCTCTTTTATGTATATAGATAGAGATAGATTACTAAAATAAGTATAGTAATTTTTGTCTAGATCGATCTACAAAACATAATCCTAAACTCAACATTTCCATCTAATATTACTGGACGTACTATAGACCAGATTGGATCAAATAAAGATGTAGGTATATATAAAAAAGAATGTTCATTTTCGTTATTAGATGGTTTGATTTGGTGTTTGAGTGTTTTTAAGTGTTAGTCACTCTATGACTCCCAATATAGTAATAAAAACAACCAACTCAACTTAGGTAGGATATATTAATAAATTTTAAATGATAAAATGAACTGAGCTGATTACCCCCTCCCATTAAGCAAGCATGTGACGAGAGGGGGAGACTTCAGATATTAGTTATACAAATAATAAATTATTAACAAATTTTTAGAATCTATTGAAATGATTACAATTTACAATAGTATTGCACAATAATAAATAAAAACAGAATACTACTTAAATATTAATGAACATGAACAGAAAATATAACTTCTTGATATTAATGATTATTTCTCTCGAGCATATCATTTTTTATACTTTTTTTAAACAACATCTGATGATTTACTAACATAATATATATTGGTGATTTATTAATCATTGGTATAGCTTTATATTGATAATAGTTTTGATAATCCGTAGAATTACATTTAAGTAAACCTACAGTTTTTACATTTTCTCTGACTATTGAGATTGTCACTGCTTCTTATGTATTTGGATTAGGAAATAAATCTGCATTATTTACCGTCTATTTTTCAATAACAATTCAAATCCCTCACTTTACATAGTTGAAATTAATTCATTGCGTAAACGTATAGCTTTAGTCAACGTTTCCGCTCAGATAAGACAACTATTGTACACACAAAAAACGTTTTTGATAATTTCTTTGAATTTAAGGTTTGTGGTTTTATCAGCTACGTGGTTGACGCAACTTACCGCCAAGAAATCGAGGGTGCCAATATTGTATGTAACTGTACATAATCTGTAATTGTTGAATTCCTCATTTAGATTCAATCAATATCTATAACACACATTGATTATCGTGATTATCTTTGTCTACTAAAGTACTAACACGGCATGTTGAATCATTTTCTTTATATCGGTCGAAAATGCATGTGTGTTCTAAATCTTACTATGATCTAATAAATCCGGATGTAATTTGGGGTCGTTAATCAATATTATGTTATTCAACTACAAGCCGGTACTGGTTTTCGCTGAAAAGTCAAATACAATACATAGTTAGGTTGTTCTTCTATGACCGTTCAATATACGTCATATGAATTTGGTAGATAAAAACACATTAACTGATTATTACCTCCAGCATTGCTTGATTATAAATACTAGAATTTATAATCAATACTTATACATTCCATTTGTTTCAGATTTTCATATTGTTCTATAACATTTTGTATTTAACATAATATAGTTCGGAGTGAGTTATGTAATAATCTTTTTTATAATAAACTATAGAAACTTGCATAACGCTGAATTGAAAGATGTTGACGACGATTTATTTTGACTGGTAATTTTACTACGAATCTACCATCCTATCGTTCTGATCGACATTTTCGGAAGACTGTGTTATGCATGATTTTTACTCGTCAGTGAAATTATGTTCACAAATATTTCTTCCATTTTCCAAAACATTTCTCTTTTATCATGCACAACACTGGTTATGAACATATTAATTATTATCTATGCTTCCCCACCCCATGAAAAAAATACACTCCACTGGATAACATGTTATATAATATAAGGGTAATTGGTATTATAATTTATAATATTGTACATTGATACATGGTAAGTTGAAATCATGGAAATCATATTAAGCAATGTGATTTTTCAGAACGGCACGACACATATATCGGTTGTTAATAGGGATCAAAATTTCCAAAAAAAAGGTTTTCCGAAAATAACTTGGGTTTTTTCCCGTTTTTTTTTTGGAAAAATTGGGGAAAATTGGTTTCATTTAAAATTTTCGGAAAAAATAGTTTTGACGAAAAATTGAAAAATACCATGTAAAAATAGTTTTTTTTTTTCTAAAGGACTAAAAAAGTAATATATAGTGGAAAAAGTCTAATAAATAATAATAGTTGATAATCATATTACACACATATTATATATACCATACCTAACTTAAAGTCTGTAGCTTATAAATTTATAGGATTCTATACTTGATTTATAAATAATTATAATTTTTAATATTAACTTCTAAAGTACTAACTATTAAGCATTTACTATGTAGTTATTAATATTATTTAATATATTTATAATATTTTATATTTAAATATATATTTTATATATTTTATTACCAACCCACTAAGTTTAAAAACTATATATAACTATCACACATAGAAATGTTGATAGGTATTTGATATATTTATTGATATTTGTTTATGTAATTTAAACATTAATAGGTGTTATGACTTATGTTGACAATAAACTTCTTTGAATCTAAATGATTCATATTACTTTAGTTTAATTTATACTACGTAAGTTATAATGATTAAATCATGGGTCCTAGTGAACATGTAATGGTATTATTTTAACAGCATCAAACTACTACGGTAAAGCTTAACATAGTTTAAATAACCTTAATGAAAATTTAAAAATGTACTAACTTATTGTTAAAATAAATAAATAATGAAAATTCAGTTTGAATATAATATGTGTTGTTTGGACATTTAAATAATTGACTATTAAGAGCAAAAACATTTATATGAACACCATATATAAGATATTACTTTAAACACAGTATACCTGATTTAATATAAAATCAATAATATTGTATTTAACTGCAAGAGTTGTATTTATGTCAACAATAGATATAAAGATACCTATTTTAAGATTCAGTGGTGTTAAATTAACATCAGTAAAAGGGATTTTAAAATAATTGAAATAATTCATTTTAAAATTGTATAAAGTTTGTTTTTAATACCAATATTCCTGTCCTAAGCCCCTTCAAGCCCCCCCCCACACTCGATTTCCGCCAATGTGTAGATCTGCATTTGGGGGGGGGGGGGGTTGAGATTTATTGGGAGTTATTATTGACCAAAAAATTACTACTCATTCAAAATTCGGTGGGGGGAGCGGGTAAGTACACTTCTACCCCCATAAATCTGATATTCTGTCATAGACCGTCTAAATAATATGCATATTATCATGTTATAAGTCTTATATACAGAGAAAGAGGGATAACAGTTTTTGCTAACCACCAAAAATTATCCTAGATAATATCTATTAGATATTATTAGATACACCCAGCTTGGCCAGCCCCTCCACCAACATCAAATGTGGGGCCTCTGTATCAAATAGTTACTAGTCATCACTCACCAATCACCAGTCACTGTAATATAATTGATAAACCTTTCAGCCAGTTACCGCTGTAATACCTTATTAGTTATTACAAATATAAATAGACAATAAGTATTTTAAAATTTAAAAATACAGGTGATTACTTTTCAGGGAAATACACTCTCCCACATAAATACCAATTTGATATTGAACTACCTACGTTATTTTTAGAACAAATATTGAAATATCCGTATTAATATTTTTAAATTTTAATACAATAATACATTGATAACCGTATTGGAAAATATGAAATGACAATGGCAAGTTTCCTTATCTTTTTTTTGAAATGGTTTTTTTTTACATAGATTATTTTAATTATTAAGAGTAAATAAAATTTTTTAATTTTCCGAAAACTTCGGTTTTTTTCGGAAATTTATTATTTTAATATTCTTACATTTTTCCTCGTTTTCCGGGTCTGGGGAAAAAACGGTTTTTTTTCGAAATTTTCCGTCATTTTGATACCTAGTTGTTAATGTAGAAATTGACCCCCCAAGGCTCCGAACTATAAAAATTGGTATTATTCGAGGAAAACACAGATATAGTAGGTAACTAATCAAAGTATTTTTTTATTTAAATAAGTAAAATTGACGAACAAAATTATTTGAAATTAAACATGCCCGGTATTTTATTGTTGGCTAATACGATTCATAATCCGACAATAATCAAACAACTAAATCACTATTCACTAATAAACATCAAATTAAAAACGTTATAAAATTATACTACCTAAAAAATATAATTGAAAATTTCAAATTAATTTTAAAATGGGATATCAAAAAAAACTATCATTTGAACGAACGGTTCCGCAGAAACGACGTGACAATTTGGTGAGTTCTGACTACACCGACGTCCAATCATTTATACCGTCGTACGATACGCGATGTGAAAAGCCCAATGTGTTTTACTTGATGTCCATGGAGTATCAACGAATTTGGGAACAGGAGAAAAACGAATACTTTAAATCCACTATTATCATTGGCACGGTAGCGTTGAAACCCTGGTTAAGGGGCCATGCTAGAAAACACCAACATAATATCCCACGATTAACAGTACCATACTGTGTACAGGAAAAAAGAAATACGAAGTACGACCATATTAAAGCTAAGTACCATGAAATAAATCACTATCGACTAGGTCCATGCGTCGATCGTAAACAACAGACTACGGTGCCAAAATGCCTTTGATTCGGACATCGACATATATTCCAAATATGGGTAAATTACATTACTGCGAACCGTCATAATGTACACAATATGGATACACTTACATGGGCAATAGTTGCTACAAAAATCAATAAATGTATACAGTTCGTCAAGTCTGCATATAATATAGACACGAATTTATTTAAATAAATGTAAAAATATGAATCTTATACACGACCACGATGTTTGAGTTTCAAAAAAAGTGAACATAGTATTACATTGCGCATTGGACTTATGCATCACATTTCCACATCTCAATCTGCTCGTTAGAAAATAATTTTTTAGTAAAGGTCTGAAAGAAGACCCGTCGATTGAACTCGATTCGATATACTATCATAATGACTGTATATGAAGTCAGGCATTATAAATATTAAAAAATTAATGTTCTAAGTTGTTTTGGATTTTAAGTGGAACAATGAATGTATTGATTACAAAGATGCATGTTTTTTGATTTATTTTTTTTATTTTTTTAAAATTTTTATTTGTGTCAGTGTACACGGTAAGTAGTCGAAATAATGCTTCGATTTTCAACTTCAGTATCTTGTTCGATTTTTCACTGACATTTCACTGAATGTTTATTTTGTCAATACTCAATTCTAATACTATTGATAAAATTTTCAAAATATTTTGACTTGTTTTGAGCTGCTTACGGGAAATTTTATATTTCAATTTTTATTTTTTTATTCTATGAATATCAATTAAGTTTATATGCTGGGCCAAAAAGTGTAAAAACTTAATACAAGGCCAATGATATATTGTTACAATAGCAGTTGAAAAATATTAAAAATACACATTCACAATTTTTTGTTATAAGCATTTAAAGATAGAATATGTTTAATTAAATTCATATTTATACAATAAAGATTTTTCAGTATTTATAAATTTATATTTATAAAAAAAATTTAAAATGTATTAATTATAGTGTAGTTACGTCCTTCTTCTTGGAAACTTGTTTATACGTTTGTACAATGATCATTAGACATATCTAGAGACATTTATCCAAATGGAGTTGTTTAAATAATATTTACCTATCTCACAAAAAAAAATTTTCCATCTAGATACCCTAAATCTTGACATTTGAATTAAAGTCATAAGTATCGAATAAGTCAAATACTAATCAGATACGTTTTTCAAAACCAGTGGAATTACCAAAATTTCAATACTTTAAATGCATATTATTCCAATATCTAGATACTCAAAATAATGAGCAATCGATACTGCAAAGGTGCAATATTGACTACAGTATATATATCCTTAGATAAATCGTTGAGTCGTTGTTAATTTCTTACATGTTTGAGAGATTGGTAATATATACTCTCCGTTTCCACAGTTGTATGCACACCGTATAGTCCTGTATTGGGGTAGTGGGTAGTATTCTGAATAAAGTATTCGGAATAACTATTTGGAATATTTATTAAAAGTATTTTATTCCTAAAAAAAATATACTTTTTATTATTTTACAATAATAATCGTTTCCTTTTTACTTTCTTGATTTTTAATCAAGCAAGTATGGTAATTTAAATGAAAAAAAGTCTGAATTTTGAAAACACTTGAAAACAAATTTGTGTTAAATAGGAAAACAATAAAAATGTAACTCAGTAATGATGAGAAGGTGGGTAATTTAGCTAGCTTTAACTTTATTTTAACTCATTAAAAAGGGATTATCAATTAGATACAAAATGTGGAATTAACATTTATTTTTTAAATTCTTTACTTTTTCATAGATAAAAAAAGAGTTGTTTTTCTCTAGATTTTCATTTAGATTTCCAAAACGGGAGAACCAATTTTGTTGTTTGGGGTCTTGTTAGATTCACATTGGCTAGGAGAAGTGTAGTGATAATTTTCAGCACTTTATCTACAATCATTAATTCACTACAAAGCTGTAAAGCTGAAAAACATCGAAAAACGCCCAATAAAATTTGTTTTTAATGTTTTGTAGTGAATTAACTATTAAAGGTAAAGTTCTGGAAATCTTCACTGCACTTCTCCTAACCAATTTAAATCTAACAAGACCCCAAACAACGAAATCCGCTCTCCTGTTTCGGATATCTATCTCAATGAATGAAAATGAAAATGATTTTTTGTGGGGCTGTTCACTCCGATATTTTTCTATATTCAAATTGTTATACCGCTTGTGTGTGATACCAGTTAATACATTTCTAAAAATTAAAAATCAAAAAAGTTTACATGCCAATCCCTGACTTGGCAAGCGTTTTTTTTCTAGAAATGTTTATAATATTATTTACATTTAAAAATGTTAAATCATTTATTAAAGCCAAAGGAAGTGCGATCACTGGATGATTTCTTCCCTCACCCTTTTTATGTACAAACTTATTGTAGCACATATTCTTATTATGCCTTTGGCATAGATTGTTTATTATCTAAGAAAAAAAATTATAAGAAAAAATATCATTTATCAACAACTTCTATTATATTTAGTTGGATTGAATTGTCTGCATCTATTATCATGGTAAGATTGATGACCCTCTTAATTGCGACACTTGAAATTGACTCGTCATCACTGATATTTTTACCTGGTCCGATTCGCAAATAGTGTTATTTTGGTTGATCACTCCATATTTGTTGTTAAAAATATTCATATCTAACTGAGTTCACCAGGTGTCCAGGTACACCGACTTTTACCATCTTATAAATGTGCGAACCGATGACAACGAAGCTTATATATGATGGTTTTGGTAACCAAATTTGGTGTAATTCCTTCTGTGTCGGTTATTCGTTATGTTAAGATATAATACATGAATTACTATGCGTTCATGATTTTATATTCTACGATGTGACAAAGGTGCCACTGGTAATTTATTTGTGTTGTTTTTAAAGATCGGAAGGTTGTGAATTATCTATAGATATATTTTATATTACACAGCATAATATAATATTACTATATATATTTTAGATTTTGAGTGAAACTATGAATGTATTGATTTTACAATGATGTGTGTTTTTTTTTATTTTTTTTTTTTTGTGTCTGTCATCACCTTTTAGGACAGTAAAATGGCTTAATTATCCATCTCTATTTATTGGTAACAAAGACTGTCAGGGTAGTACAAAATTGTGAAACATTAAAGCTTTATAACTGTTGTCTGAAAAAAAATGTTTATGGCAATTTTCAAATCCTTTATAAATATTTAAGTTTTTTTAATAATAAC